TGTGTGTGTGTGTGTGGGGGGGTGTACAGGGACAATGATGGCATGCTTGGACTTGTAGTTCCTTAGCTGATATATATGTGTGGGGGTGGGGGGTACAGTTCTAGTGGATGTTTATATAATATGGGGGGGCGAAAAAAAATGTTCTGCCCCGGGCGCCCATAACTCTGGTTACGCCACTGTATGGTAGAACCTAAGCTGGTTAGCAGATCTAGCATGGAATTCCCTAGGCGAAACACCAGGCTTCCATCTGAGGTCCAAGCCCGTCCTGGCTTCTCAGGCACCTCCAGCAGATAAAGTACCACCTTGGTTCTTCATCCCAGGAACAAATTCAGACCCCAACTGGGTCCATACCTGACCACCTGCAGGCTACAGGCCTGGTCAGACAGCTCACACTTCACTTACCCTTCCCTGGGCAAGAGGCCCGGGGTAGAAAGACAGTCTCCCTTGGTCAGCTCCAAATATTTATGACCTCCCCGCAGCGTGCACCACTGGCCATGAACATCCTAGTTATTGGCTAGGGAGATATTCATAACACCACATTATTAGATGGTCTGCTCTGTGGCAAGGTTAGACTCCATTCACATATGGCATTTGCGTTTCCCGCATGGTTTTCCATGCGGAAGACCGCTCGGCAATGCAAACGCTACAATCTTTCATCCGCATGGATTCAGCTCATTTGTGGCTATTATGTAAGAAGTCACGCTTGGACTATTTTCCAGGCCACCACAAATGTCTGAACAATGCACATTTAAAGTGCATTGTTTTTTTCTGTTTAGAGCAGCTCCAGCAGGCCAGCCAAATACGTCAGGACAATCGTTCCTGTGTGAATGGAGCCTGCACCCAGCAGATGCAAACAATAACAGAGTGCTTAGAGAGACCAAATGTGCACAGATTATCAAACTAGCTAGACTGGATACAGTCCACCTATAATATAATGAAGGAGTCACTACGCTTAGGGCAAGGTGGCTACACTTATATCATGATAACATTAAAAACATAATTAGATAATCTTGCATGTATCACCTAACAGGCAATTATTTCTTTACAATAATATAATGTCAGTAAGTGTTGAGATGCTTTACATTGGTCTTTGCATAGGCATAGGCACCGGATCAGTGACAGTTCTTCCACATCTTGTTGGGGTTTTATCGTAGGAACTCTGAAGGAACAATGCTCTCAGTCTGTGTTGCTCATAGCAACTAATTGAACTGTATCTTTGATTTTTTTTTCACACTGCAATATAAACAAATAATTAATTGGGTAACAAAGACTTTCAGAGAAAATTCTTCCTTTGGATTTTTGAATCTATTTACATAAAATTGATTAAATAAAAATTGCACAAAATAGTGAGTTTTTATTTTGCGTATGACTATAAAGCCAAAACAAAACTGGAAAGGCTTTTTTTTCTTGCCGTAGTTATTTGTCTTGAAGCTGATAATTAATAATTTTGAAATCTGGAAGGAATTAGAATCTTTTGGAGGGAACTCACAGACACTTCTTAAGGAACAGAGTTATGTTTTGTTTGAAGGGGGAGAAGTATTGTGTAATTCAAGAACAAAGCATAGGTCTGGAGGAACTTTTGGAAACATTTCAGACGTGGTTCAGACGTGGTTCAGAAATGGAAAATAACCTCCAACTCCAAGAACGAGAGAGACAGAAACTGGGGCAGAGCAAGAACAGCACATCCAATAAAAATGATTATAATTCTTTGCAGCTTGAAAAACTTTCTGTATTAAAACATTACAGAAGTTTTTGTACTCCAGTAACTGTATACCATAGTTTAGCTCGCAATAGTTGCGATAGGCAACACAAATATTATTTTATTATTTTTTTCAGATGCGATCAGTAGGATAAAGTGTCTGTTCCTTCCTGTTCAACTATCCAGCTTTAGCCATGCTAGAGATTCAGACCTCTAATAGATATGTACTGCAGTGTGTGTGTGTGTGACATGATGTCTGTCTTTGGTGAGGTCTTTATGGTACGCTCCAGTAAAATATAACATTTCTGAATTTAAACTCACTTAGTGGACACAGCCAAACAATCTATTAAGTGCCTCATTTTCATCCCTTTGTTCATCTTATACAACATGCATCAAGAAGGTTATCTGTAGAATACTCACAACACCAATATTTTGAGTGGATATCAATGCACGTGCCTTGACCGTAATTCAAAGTGGTGACCTGCAGGATTCATGTGTACTTTTTTTTAAATGTACGCCTGTGGTGAATGTGACCTTAGAAACCCACCTCTGAAATGCAATAGTGAGCTCCCCCAGGTCTTTTTATGGTTTAATTAGATAGGCATGTGTCTTCCTGAAGCTGAATGATACAACTGTATCTTATTAAGGACCAAATTTCGAACACTAGAGCCGGCAGGCACTCAAGCTTTTGGAGCCCAAAACAAAACCCTTTCTTTACAAAGAACTTTTCATTTCTTGTTTGTCCCAACCTGGCTTACTATATTGTGACAAAGTGTGAATGAGTTTATATGAGATAATTGTGTTTCTGCTGATGATGGGGGAAAACATGTATGACCTATAACTATATGGGAAATAGTTGCCTCTTTAACCTTATTAATGGCTCTTGTCTTACATAAAACACAAAGTATAGCTACATCTACATCTATACATAAACTAAAACTATTGATAATATACCCATGAAGTAAGTGTTACATATGAGGATTGACCATATTGATCAAGTGCAGCCAGGAGAAAGAAGGCCCCAGCGGTGGAATGTGAATATTTCAGCAGGCCGTGGTTATGAGATAGAGGTAAGTATACAATCTGAGAATTGTGTTACCTGAGGTCAGGGGGATTGGCTAGGAGTATTGGGGCACTTTATGCATGCTGTGATTAAGAGGTATATTGATGTTGGTCATGTTTACTGTCTTCTTTCCTAATATTGCACCTTCCAATTATGATGGAAGGCAATTCATCACATCTGGTGGTCAATGGCAGTCCCTGACATTTCACAGAATCTGTCATTATTTGCTTAATGGAGTGCCTTGGTTTCAGGGATGCCTGGCACTTTGAAAATAAACCAAGGATGTGATTATACATCTGTTATATGGACAGTGCCTTTTTGGAAGGTGAGGTGAGCCCATAGCATTATTTTAAATACCTTCTGGCTAATTACAACCAGGCTTTGCATAGTAACTGTTTGTCCTTTGTCAGATCCCATAGTACAATGTTCCTCGAGTCCATTCAGTGCCAAGAACAGTTTGTGCTTTCCAGATACACAAAACTAAACTCTAGTGCTGAAACACTGGCTACTCCACCAATGCATATGAGAGGTTATCAAGGGAAGTATTCACTTTTGTAGCACTCAAGGACAGGTCTGGAAAAAAATAATTTAAGATAGACACATGGTCAGATTTTTATTAGATTTCATTCTTAGACCAGCAAAATTGCTCAATTAGTCTGAAGTCCTACTGAGTGAATAGAAATGGAATGGATTGTTGCGGTAGGCTCACTCACTGTGAAGCAGATTCAATCTGATTTCAGTGTGTGGCTGGCATTAAACAGTATGGGACGTAACCTTGTTTTTTAAAGGGACAAAAGACAAATCTACTTAAAGGAGCTGTACAAAAAGAAAAGGTAAGCGTAAACAAGAGAAACATATAATTTATATAAAACATCATACAAATGCTACATGAACCTTAAATAAACACTTATGAAAGTTACATGAATACTGTTTTCATACCATACCAAGAAGACATTTTAATCAAATGCACCTACTGAATGTACAATAATACAGTATTGAGTATTTATCTATCCAGTCTTCTAATTAAAAATAGCCATCCTAATAGAGATAAAAAATGTCACTTCTTCCAGAATCCTTCAAATAAAAATATTTTACAAAGCTTGCCAAAGCGGGTTTACAAATATAAAGTGCTTTTCATTGTCCCTTGTCATGGAAATGGAATTTGCTGTATGTGGCATGTTCTACCCATGTATGGACAGAACTTGTTGAGAATGATTCAGACCAGATCCATCGTTCTTTGGAAATTCAGTAATAATCAGAATCCTCATTGTCAAATTCGTCCTCTTGCAAAGGGTTGCGGAATTTCGGCAGAGACAATCCCGTCAGGTTGACTTGTTCTGAGGCACACAAAAAGCAGACACGTGAATACATAAATTAATATAGATAAATGCGATCATTGGAATGGCAATATTAGCTAAACCAGCAGAGAAGGATTGCCAGTCTGCAGGCATCTTTTAGATTGTAAGCCCTCACCAGCAGGGCCCTCCTTACCATCTTGTCTTGAATTGTATTGTGATTGTAATAGCTTCCTGTTATTGTAAAGCGCTGCGCAAACTGTTGGCGATATATAAATCCTGTATAATAATAATAATAATCTACTCACTCATATGGCTGTTGGGCTGATTTTTCTGTTTTATACCACTTATTCCACAATGGTCCTGTGTATTTTTGCCAATTATAATCCATTATAACTACATTGTTAAAAACTGCTATGGACCCCAGTTCACAAGCATGCTTGTACTTGGGTAGAAGTAACTGCTCATCCCTAGTAGTGATTGATGCTCTAGGCAATGTTTGCACAGTGAAAGCATAAAATTTACTTTTCTTCATAAACAATATGAAAATTCATCTAAAGGCTCCTTATGGCAGACTAGACAAATTCCACATCCAGGTACTATGTGATGCACAAGCCTCAAAGCAAGCAAAAAGTTTCCTTCGCTTTCCCGAACTAAGCCAAATCCTTCTTCATTTGTCTCTCACATACTCCCCCTCCCAGACATTGCAGCTCACAGTGGAAGGGTTTCAGCAATAAGAGCAGTACTGTAAATCCAGAAAGCAGTTGGCAGGACTAGGGGTGGCTAGATGCTGATTGACAAGCTACAGTCTTGTGAATCAGAAGTGAGAATGCTGATAGCCTTGCCTCTGCAACATTTTTCATACCACTGTAATGCAAGCAGGTACTGCCTACACCAGAGTAGCAACTCTGCTTTGAATTCAGGAGCAGTGCCGTATCATTGTCACCCCATCACAGGAAGCTGCATTGGGTAGACCTCACTGGCAGGATCGATAGGTATTTTTAGGACTTTGCAGAGGGACTAAGAGAAAACTTTAAGTGCTTATAACAAAATTCTGCAGCACATAGATTCTTTTATCAGCAAGGTCACAGTTCTACTTTAAGCAAGCTTTATGATAATTTATTGACTTAAAGAATATACGAAATTTACCTGGTGTTAGCACTGTGAGGGTCGCTGCTGCCATAACTTCTCCAACTTTGTTTTTAGCAAAGCATCGGTAACTCCCCTCATCAGCTGCACGAACTGATTGTATCTGAAGCCACCCCGTCACTTCATACTTCTGAGGACCTCCTCTAAACTACAGATATAATAAAACATAGTTATTAAGCATATACTCACTATACCTCACTATACATGAATACAGAGAAATATAAATCACATATTCTGCAGGCCCGACAGGTTATGACTGGTTACTTTTAGAACACAACACCTTATACCCATCATGGGGGAGAGTTTTTACAAAGTGTCCTATAGCCTCTGCAACACTCATTTAGAGGTTCCAAGAGGCAGCTTCTGCACAGGCACCTCCTGTTATGGGGTGACAATTGTCTTACAATTGTGTTCCTGGGTTGCCATCTTGTTACATGCACCACTGGTGGGGGCTACAAGCAGTTGTGCATGGTCCACTTTTGTCACTGTAGACAGAAGGAGCCTTTGCATTGCAGCCATGATCCACAGTAGCAATGCTTTGCAGGCTCCAAAGCAAAAGGTGGATATGCCTTTACGGTAGGACTCTGGACTTCTCTTTTCTCAACAGGCACTGAAAACTTATACTGGGTGACACACAAAGTACCCCTTTATAAATTTAGAAACATGTTACAAAACAAATATTTGAGTTATGATAACATACAAAAGCTCATCTTGACTTTTCAGCTTCTGATCTTTTAAATGTAATATGCCTATTTTTATCATACCTGATATTCACTACTTAGAATTTGCCAGCCATACATTGGCTATAATTAGGAGTTATTTTCACCACATAAATAAAGCCATAAATAGCAGATTACTTTAAATATCCTAATCTACAGAGATCACAGGCTTACATATAACAGGTTGGTCACATTATAAACACATTTTAAAGGCAAAATAACAGCTTTCAACCAGTTATACTTCAAATGAAACAATAAATCACCTTTCTGCATGATGCAATAATTGCTGCAATCCAGTCACGAAAACTTAACAGTTCGAATAAAGGTGTTAGGGTTAGTTCACACCATATGCAGTGCGTTCTGGTCCGATTCTGGCCGGAACGCACTGCATCGCACTGTGGCCGGCTCACTTTTGTGAATGGCAGCGTAGCCACGCCCTCCGGCCACAATGCGGTCGCCCGCACGGGATCGCAAGGCACATTGTGCCTGCAGTGCCGTCCGGTGCGATCAAAATAGTGTTTGCAGCTGTTTTTTTACGTGCTCTGGAACTGAACGCTGCAGTGTGAACTAGAGCCCAATATTTCATCGGAATACATTGGACGCAGTTTTGAGCCGGTCTGTAACTGCTCTGTTCTGCTCCTGGAACGCGCTTGGTGTGAACAAACCCTAAGTCTAGCTCTGTGTACTCCAGTACATTCAAAATTTACTGCAACATACATAATTTACAAACATTTTTGACAATATTTTGTATTCATGTTCAGTGTACTAAACATGGAAAGGGATGCTCAGGCACTTTCCCATAATAACCATGAAATCCTGTCTGGGAACTTGCTGTTACTTAGGACTAAACATTCAATTTTCCATATGATTCCAGTGGCCTGGAGTCATCCCAACAGACCAAATAGTAAAGTATGTCACCAGCACACCATGGCTCAATCTTCAAGCAGTGATCATTTTATTCATGCACACACATCTTCACATTGCAGCGTTTTCCACAGTTACTATAGCACCCACCGCAAGGGATATACCAGTAAGGAGTGCAGTAGGATTTTCCTGCATCCCAACAGACCAAACTCCAGTTCTAAAAAAATCTCTTTCACACTAGAATTACAAGTATCAGGAAACATAATATTACTTCTTGTACTCATCTAGCTGAGAAATCAGCTGGTTTATGTTCAGAAATTTGAAGGACATTAAAACATACAAAAAACTATTTAAAATAGCAAATTATTTAAGTAAACTGTGAAATGGTATGAGTATAGATACACACAGTAACATTACAATTGTTCATTAGCATGTGCAGAAATTCACGATTCTCATTTCGTGTGAATCTTTCTTTCATCACTTTGCAGAACTTGCCCTCTAAAACTGTGTTTTTTTGGAATGCATACTGAGGGAGGTTGAACTACTGCTACAGATAAAATGTAATTTTAGATAATTGTGGCTTTCCTAAATTTTGGCAAAAGTCAATTTTTGCTCTGACATGATGATGCCCCTGCGAACAAAGCCAAGTTTATATAGGCATGGTTTAACCGGCTTGGTGTGGAAGAACTCAAGTTGTCTGCACAGAGCCCTGACCCCAATCCTACTGAACACCTGTAGGATGAATTAGAATGCCAAAAGCAAGCCAGATATTCTCACTAAACATCATTACCTGACCTGACATATGCCCTTTTGGCTGAATGGGCACAAATTCCAACAAACACGCTACAGCATGTTTTGGAAAGCCTTCCCTGGAGATTGGAGGCTGTTACAGCCGCAAAGAGGAAAGGGACAACTTCATTTTAATAACCATGGTTTTTGAATTGAATGTCCAACAAGCTTATATTGGTGTGATGGTGAGGTGCCTTTTAGACATTTACTGTATATGTTTCTAGGAATTCAGTGGCGAAATCTAAGCATCTGAGTTACTCACTCCACTCCTACTTGCCCTGGTCATTATCACGGACCATAACTATTGCTGCTGAGATTCAATGTATTTTTATTATGAAGATTGTATTAGAAAGAGAGAAACTGAATGACTCGGCACCAAAAATAAGACAGACTCACACATAGTGTTTGCGGTTCCCGCATGATTTTCCGCGTAGAAGAGCATGCAGGATCTGCTGGATTATGGCTCTTGCACTATTTCAGGGGCCACGCGGTCCCTGCAATGCTGTGAATGATGCACATTGAAGTGCATTGTTTTTTGTGTTTAGAGCGGCTCCACACGTATCCGTACAGCCAAGAGCCACTCAGGTGTGAATGTAGCCAAAGAACTCCTTTGAGTGGATCTATCCAAAAGAGCCCCAGAAACCATTTGCGTTCTCCCACAGCTCTGAACTTACTTTTTACAGTTTCAGTATCCCAACTCTTTTCCTATAATAAGGTAATAGTAAACTCTGAAACACAATCAATTATTTAATAGGCAAATAAACTTCTTCCTTGTATGCAAAACATTTGACATCTTTTTGTTGTATGCTCCAGTCAATACTACACTGTAATGGGCACTCTGGGCTGTCAGGCACATTTGCAACTACACAGGCGCTATGGATATAGGTACAGTATATCTTTCATGGAGTCTGCATCTTTTTTTTGTACTTTTGAGGTGGGTACAGTCATATTTAAACACACAGATTCTAAACTCCAAAACACAGCGTAGTGTAATTTAGTAATGTAAGGCAAAAAGTCATATGCAGAAAGCACATAGTCTTAGAATATCCCACCACTGCAACATGTTTTTCATTGGTCTTACTGATATTTGATATATCCAGGCAAAGCATAGTGGAACATAAAATTAATCGGTAGAGCCTAGCCTGATTTCTTCCATTGGACCTCTCTTGCTAGTCTTTAGCTTGGCATCTGGCTTAGTTTAGTGAATCAAAGTCTTTGTGATTTTAACCTACAAATAAGTTTTCATTTAAAAAAAATGTTAATTAGGCTTCATGAAAATCAGGCTTGCTCTTTCCACTAACTTTTGGCCTTGTGCCCAAAAGAACACTAGTAATGTTGAACTTAACTCCAAACTGCGTGGTCAGAATTAAACTTCTCTCCATAAATGTAGAAACCAAAAGCGAACACAAACTGGGACTACACAAGGCTCATTATAACGCACTCAGTAAGCGACATACTACCTTGTGCTCCTGCAATAATAGCAGGCACCATAATTGCACCATTCAGCTAGAGAACAGGTCTTGCCCAGCAGGACTTGTAGAACTAAATCATAAGCAGGCAGACAGGGGTGCATCCTAATGGCAGAGAAAATAGAATTTTCCAGCTTTCAACCATTAGCAGAGTTATCAGTCAAACTAATAAAACTGTTCCAATCTCTATTTCCCTCTATCTGCATCCTCAAACAATAAAGGTCAATTAGCTGCAGCATATATGAAGAAATATATACATCATGAGATTTCTAGAATGTAATGTCTGAATATTTGTCTTTATGGTATAAGCTGAGTGCCCCCCCTCCCCCCCACCAATGTCATCCCCCATTTTGAAGTAGATATTTTTTAAACCCCATATGGGACATACACCAATCAGCCATAACATTATCACCAATGAGAGGTGAGCTGAGCAACATTTATTATCTCGTTAAAATGGCACCTGGAAGTGGGTGGGATATATGAGGCAGCAAATGAACATTTTGTCCCTGAAGTTGATGTGTTGGTCAGCAACACATCAACTTGTTGCTTAATCCCCCCTTCTAAGAAGCTTTGAAATCAATTGCAATCAAATTATTCATATTTGGAGGTAGAATAATTGCATTCATTTACTTTTCCTTCTAATGTGTACACAATGACATTGGGAAGTCTTCCAAAAACTATATTCTAAGAAGATTTCTTTATTTTCTATTTACATTTAACTTGGAAACACAGACCAAGTTAAATGTCAACTATTGCCCCATCCAATAACCTAGTCCATGCCCCCCATAATTATGATAAGACATTATTTTCACCATTTTTCTAAATTCCGTAATAAGATCAAAAAGATATTAAGTTCAAGGGTAACTTTGGATTCTTGTACTCACAGCAAAATCAATTTTTGGAGTTCACTGAGGAGCAAAGAATTTAGAGACAATTGGGTTATACTGCCAACTACAGGAACTACGGGAGGATTTGGACACTGGCAAACAAAAAAAATCAGTGGCCTGGTATAATGCTCCCACTCCCAACATGCCTCAGTTTTGAAGAAAAGCAATACTAGGAGCAAAGTCATAGACACAGAGGGGAGGGATCTATGTCCCTCAATGAATGCAAAAAATTGAGTTTATGGTGAGTACAAAAATCAAATTGTCTTTCTCCTTCATTAAGGGACACAGGAGTCAGAGACAATTAAGAAAAAAAAGTGTGGGCAACAGTAACAAAACACTAACAGAAAGTTCTGGGGATCCACAGTAAAGTGAAGAACAGGTTTATGTGCTGGAAAAATGGGGACATGCAAATATGCATCT